GTTGGCGGCTCGCGCTCAGGGCTGGGTGAAGTGCGTGGGCGAGAGGGGAGGCGACGCGGAGCGCGACCGCGTTGGCGGCTCGCGCTCGGGGCTGAGCGGGGAGGCGACTAGTGGGGACGGCGGGTAGAAGCTAGGCTGAGCGCGACCGCGTTGGCGGCTCGCGCTCGGGGAAGGGCAGACGACAGGGGCGGGGGTGGAAGCAGCGCCGAGCGCGACCGCATTGGCGGCTCGCGCTCGGGGAAGGGCAGACGGCAGGGGCGGGGTGGGCACTCAAAGGGTCGGGGCAGGCGCGGAGACTTGCGCGATGATGTGCGCACTTGCAAGCGCGGCACCGGGCGCATTTGCCAGCGCTGAGTCGTACGCATTTGCCAGCGCGGTGGGCTGAGACAGCACACTTGCCAGCGCGGAGGGCAAACACGCGTCACGGCCAGGTCACGTGACGCATGGGTTTGCGTTGAATCTCTAAGTCCGCGTTGGCCACTGTGTCTCATATACAGTGATCCACCGTTCCCTTGGACAGGAAAAACTGTATTGCGCATTTCTCCCCCCATAGGCTCTCGTTCTTCTTCAACTTAGTATCATTAGTTAGCCATACATCTTGCCCATCTACCCAAAAATTTTTGGAGTAGTAGGTATCCTACAAAAATTCTGAGAGCCATAATACGGGTGACCCCCTCACAGCCACTTTACCGTTCCTCTGGACAGTGGTTTTCCCACGCCGTTTGTGACTTAGCCGTATTGCCGGTGTGAGCGCGGGAAAGCTTTCTGAGGTTACCCGACAGTCACATGGCTGCCTTTGCTGCTGCTCCGCCGAAGCTTGCAGAAACATGGAGCGATATTGGGCCCATTAATACATGTACCCTCATGAGCTCAATTGCAGATAGTGCTTTCAACACTCTATAATCTGAATATGTACACTGATTTGTTGTACAGTAGCTCACAAACCCCTCAGAGCCCAGATAAAATTGAACAGCACAGCCACCATGGTGTTTCCGATTTTTCATTCGAGTAAAACACAACATATTGTCTATCGGGCTACAAGAGATGGTGAAGATCCATTGGAGGTATATATGAAAAAATAATTAAGAGGCAAGAGTCCGGCGATGTAGAGAAATTAGCCCGTGTCCAAGGGAGTGGTGCTGTCCAGAGGAATGGTGGATCACTGTAGTCCATAAGCTCCTTGACACTTAGCAACCTTGTACATAGTTTATTCATGCATATATCTGACAATGTATAGGCTATCATTACAGTTCAACACCTGAGACTGACTTAGATCATGGAAGGTGTAAGTTGGGAGCCCTGCTATCACCACTATACAGATACATACCAAATCTATGGGTGCTATATTGACTGCACTTATGAGCTATATATCACTATGTAGCTAGTACTTTGAACTATATTACCTATAGTTACTATATAGCACGATATAGCAACTGAGCTAAGGTAGGGCTCATTCATACCCCAGCACTATGGCGTGCCAGTCTTGTCACGCATTGGCGGGGCAACCCCTTGAACCCCAAGTAACTTTGCCGCTACCCATGCAACTCGATATTTTTTCTATACATATTGTACTCTGAGCTCGTGTGCACAGGCTGTTTAGAACAGATTGGTAAAATTCTCCTTGTACCGTGCACAGGTAGGTCAGGAAGAGCTTGAAAACGGACTCATAACTCGGTGTGCCGTCACGCCTGACACCACCCACCGCGCCAAAGTGTCCACATTCACGTGATGTCACAGCAATGTCACAAGTGCTTGAGTATGAATGAGCCCTACCTTACTTCTACATAGCAACCATAGCACTATATAGCAACTGGGCAATTTCTATATAGCATCCATAGCACTACAATAGTGTCCATAGTTCTGAGGGGCAGCTATATAGATCAAGATTCTTTCAGATGTCAGCATGACTGTCACGGCAGGGGTTGTACCATTGGAACAGCACTGTCACAGATCAATCATCACTGACCATTGCCCGTCATCACTGATTGTCCTCTGACGTCTCCTCTGCTCTTCGCTGCTCATTTTCCTGCGGTCCTCTGACGGATCTCTGGTGGACTTTTCGTATCTTTGTCTCTCCCATGTTCCCTTTGTTTGTCCTTGCTCATTCTCACATCATATTCTTCTTCCTTGTGCCAGGTTTCCTTGGCACTGATTCCCTTTGTGTTCCACATGTACTTTAGATCTTCTTCCCTGTTCCCTTTGTCTTACTGATGATAGATTCATCTCCGACTTTTCCATTGTTCTGCTTAGTACTTATACCAGCTTGTCTGTACGATATTGCTCAGTTCCAATATCGACTAGGCTTTCCCCTTTGCTCCTAAGCGGACCTTGAGTGTGTAGCAACCCTTCAGGTCAAGTCCACCTCTGCCCCGCTTTGCTCCGACTTTGCTCCGACGTCAGCATACCACTCTTCTCGATATTGTCTCTGAATCGCATCCACCCGACTCTGTGTTGTGGTCTGGGCAGTACACCCTTGCATGTTGGACTTAGGTCCACTCATCCCAGACCTGTTCAGCTTTGGTATCGTTCATCTCCACTTTTTCCCGTGCATTGGGCCTCCACATTTCCGATATTTTTGCCCCACAGTTTCATCCCTGACAAGCACCCACAATACAGGAGTGGTCACAAACTACAAGGACTGAGGGCACACTCATTCATGCGGATGATGACTATTATTTCCTGAACTTGCATGCCCTTCATAATGCTGCAAGAATCAGAGAGATATTACCCCATCATCTAACAGCACCAGCCTATGCATTCCCAAATCGTCAGCAACACCACCTTAAAGCTTCAAATGTACTTCAGAAGACAGGTCCAGCTAAGCGTGCTGAGGCACAAGCTAAAGCAAAGCAAACTAGGGAACGGAAAAAGAGTCACAGAGAGGCCCAAAGTGACAAAGGGAAGAACAAAGCTGTAACCCCAGAAGATACTGATACTGAGTTGGAGGAAGACCAGGGTATGATAGTTGACCCATTATTACTAGATATTGATTTATCACTGTTTACTGCTCATCCCCAAGACTTGAGTGAGATCAGCTTGCTCACACTGGGTTCCCTCACATATCTCCCATGTATTCACATCACAATGCCCAAATAACATGTATCAAAGCTCTCAATATCATGCATATGCTATCAAGACAGATATGTAAGTGTTATCCCTCTTAACCTCATTCACAGATCACAGTAAACAACTTATTGCTATCACCCACACCCTCTGAAGTATATCACGGCCGACACCATCACGACAAAGCAGCGAGCTCATTATGACATCAGTTCTACGATGTCAAGATGATATGGTAGCGGGAACACATGCGCGTTGCGGCGGGCCTCACCAACGTGCCACCATGTCACATCATGCTGAGGTTAGGGTCAGTTGGGGGTGTAGCCGGTGCAAGTCGCGACCAACAGACCAGGGGCGTGGGAGAGTCGACGGCAGCAATGCCGACGTCGGGCGCGGACTTTCAATTGTAGAGCGTTAACGAGCTCGAGAGCGAGTATCGTTGCGAAACGCGAAAGCACACGTACATAGATGTAGGTGGTACTTTGTACAGTCAGAGATGCAGTCAATGCAATGAAGAAGTATGTTCAGTGACGTTGTAGTGGTGCTAAGCTAAGCCGGTGGGGATGGGCTAAGTGATAGTACTGTCCTCAGGGAATGCTCTAAGTTTATATTGTAGCCAGCTTTGCCCGTTGAAGTGATGCGACGGACACAGTACTGCCAGAGATCCTGCGTCGCCTGTGCTAGATACTCTCGGGGAATCCACGATGCATACATTGGCGTAGCGCACAAGCTTGAGGCGATTTTTGACTCGTCCGTAAAAGGCGAGCGGAGTTATAATCATACGAAAGGGGCGTTTTCTTTTTCTGGTATATGGGCTGTGCTATTCGTACATCTCACGTGTCGGCCAAGTCGAGTCGGTCGACTAGTCGTGGCTAGTCGTCAACTAGTCGTCCAGGTCGTGACTTGCCACAAGGTGCGAGTCGCGACTCGCACAACACTGTACTTGGGTACAAAGTTTCGTCCTTTAGACTCGTTATGGGGGGTGGCAACTGTTTCGCACATGTTGTAGCTGAGCACTGCGCACGGTAGTGATGAGAGGGACAGCACGCAGATCGCTTTCATCTCGCGCGCCGCTTTATCTGGGAGTGGGCGGGCCTGGGCGCCGACTCCGATAGACGCGGAGGCGGCGTGGGTGGGAAGCACGTGGGCGCGTGTGATGCCGAGCCTTCCGTCGGGCGCTCAGCGTGCGTACACGTCCAGACAAGACGACGGTAGAATCCACGTTTATCAGTGCAGCCTCATTTCCACACGCCCGATCCCGCGGCATTTCACAAGATTGGCGCGCAGTGGATATGCATTGCTGGGGCACTGGAAACCATCGAGACCGCCCTCTGGTTTCCATCCTTCGGCTATTGAGCATCAGCAGACATATTTGGTAGGTCGTTTCCACGTTCTCCCTCCTGGGGACGCCGTCTGGGTCATTTGGACGGTTCGAGAGAGATATTTCACGCTTAACGCGCCGTATCGAGCTGTACATGAGATGTAGCATAGGTATGGTATACATCTCTAATTGACAGTCATGTCGAGCCCCAGCGCCTCCTCGTCCGCGCCGATGGCATTGAAGTCGATCCCGTGCAAGGTCTGGTCCGTCTCGCCGTCGAGATCCATGTCGTAGAAATTGGCGTCGACCGAATTCTTGTACTTGGCTTTGTCGGCCGCAATGTAATCTTCGTCGCATCTGGTTTACCAGTGAGTAAGCATCACGAAAGGCCGGCTGTCGTACGTACTGCTTCCATCCCTCCGACTGCTTGTTCGATCCGTGCTTCTCTTCAAGCTCCCGCAGTTTTGCCTCCACGGCGGCCCAGAAATCTTTGATTTGCTTCTTGCGCTTTTGCTCCGCAATGTCAGACTGTAGCAACGCATCAGAAGAAGGACCCATGGAGACGTACGCGACGTACTCACCAATAAAGCTATGCGCGCCATAATGCTGCGAGGCGGCACCACCGGCCTCGGAGAAATATGCCAAGGGAGGATGACATCTTTGACGTAGCCATCCAGAGCGTGTCCTTTCTCGACACGAGCTACGATCTATGATGAATCAGAGTATACTCATATTACCGGGTGATCGAACCCAACCTTCTTGTGGAACGCGGCTTTGATCTGCGTGGTCTGGTAGTTGAGGAAGTCGTTGACGTGCGTGCGTATGCCCGGTGATTTCGCGTATTCCGGAATTTTGAGCTTTTCGGCATACTTGAGGATTGTCGGCTACGCAATGCGTGCACTGAGCTTGAGCCAGGAGTTACATCTACGCAGTGCTCACCTCCATATTCTTCGAGATCTTCTTGTAGGTACTCAGTGGGCGTATCATGTTATGCTTGATGTAATTCTTCAGCGTCCGCTGGAAATGGCATCTGTCAATTAAGAGCTTCTTGTACTCTTGAACATACACACCTGCTGGTTTGGGGACAATTGGTACGCACGCTCCATGTAAACATCCAGCTGGCTCAACCGGTCATCAATTCTCGCCATTGCCAAGTTGATCTCTTTGACCGAGCACTCGTTTCGGACCATGCGCGCGAACAACATGATGGTCCGCGTGTCGTCGTCGGCCTGTACAGCTCCCGTATAAGCGGGCACATTAGTTAAGAGAAATAAGGAACTCGCCTGCGCAAAACAATGGATATCTTCGCGAGAGGCACCTGAGAGCCCAATTGAGTCCAATATCCGGTCAACCGTTGCGGCCCGGACTTGTGGCATTTCGGCGATACGGGAGCCTGAAGGCGGCATGTAAGATGTTATGTTGTAAGGCATTTGAGGCCCGTAGTTGACGAGCGGCTGCATGCGCGTTGTCGCAACCAAAGGAGTCTGCGTGTTGGCCGTAGGACGAATCTGCATGTGAGCAGGAACCATTGGATGTACCCGGGACATTCCATGCTGCGTAGCAACATGGCTGTCTGAATCTTGATGTTCTGCGGCGAGGGAGTCCACTGACGCAGACCGGCGGAGGTCTCCCATGCTGTTTGACCCTGTATCGATATTGGCTGGTGCGTTGCCTGAACTTCCCGATGATACTGAAGATTGCGTGAAACTGAATGATTCGTCAGTTCTCACACGATTGGAAGGAGTCTCTGACAGGGAAGTAGGGAACGTAGGGCTTGGCGACCGGCGTACGCGTTGCGCCGAGAGTGGATATGGAGAGATGCGAGGTGATGAGAAGTTGCTCATACGCTCGACCTGAGCACGTTGCATGTTCGTGCTTGAAGCTGGAAGACGTTCTGAAGTGAAAACGACGCAGCGATGAAGTCCAACCTGTGCTCACTTGACTGATCAACAGAGTAACGTGATTTGCGCGTCTGGCAGCAGCGCGACGGCAACACGTCTCGAGTCGATGTGGAACAGAGGACATCTGTGACACTCCTCCGCGGTCAACGAAAGCAAAAATTCGAGAACGTAGGGGAGATGAGGCAAACAGTTGAAAAGCACCACCAGGAATAGTCATATAGCGAGTTGCAAGACATCTGATACATTTGATACTGCAGTATGATAGCCCATGAATTTGAAGTCGTTACAGCAAAGATCCAAGTCGAAGACAGAGAGGGCATCATGAGAGAGAACCTGTGAGACGGGTTGCAACGAATTGTTCCGGAATTCCCGCTCACGTCGGGAACACGAGGCGTGCCGCATTTGGAGGCGGTGGGAGAGAACTGCCGAGAATCGTGTTGGCGGATGGGATACGTGAGATATGAAGCTTGTGAAGCCCTGGAGGACAAGTGTTGTCGACGTTTTCACCCCCACTCTCGCCTCAGTGCTGCCATGGCCTCCGGGCGATGATCACTTGCCCACCGCATCCTCTCCATAGGGGTGGGCAGTGCTGCCAAGATGCGACACATCGAGATGCCGACTCTCGAACGCAACTCTGGTTATCGAGTTCGTTGTAGTCGAGGCGCCAGGGCCCATGACCAGTTCAGATGTCATAGACCCTTTCCGGCGGCGCTTGTGCGATGGTGACGGTGTCTGGGGCTTGAGCACTCTGGATGGAACGACCTGGGCATACAGGTTGGGAGATCTGGTGGCCGATGGCGGTGATGGAAAGACGCCGGAGCTGGTGGTCAGGGAGTCGGTGTCCGCATTGTTGGAGTTCACGCGCAATCGCTTTTGCCTTTGCTGGGTTTGCTCCCTGCGCTGTCGGGTCTCTTCCTCTTTGCGTCGCTTGTTTTCTGCTCTTTCCAACTCCTTCTGCTGCCGCATCTCATCTTTGTGCCTCTGCGCCTCTTCCTTCTGCTTCCGTGCCTTCTCCTTCCGCTGTTGCACCTCTAGCTTCTTCTGCACGGCCTCATCTTTGCGCTGCTGAGCCTCTGCTTTCTTCCGTTGCACTTCCGCTTTCTTCGCAGCTAACACTGCAGCCTTCTCTAGGGCAGCCTGTGCTGCATCTGCGGTGGCCTGAACCCGCAATTCGAGTGCCGCTTCTGCTGCCCTTAACCGGTCAAGGCCAGGGTAACGGACTCGTGTTGATATGGACGCAATCGGCTCAGCATTTCGCAGGAGCGCGGTATTCAACACAAGGTCATCAGGCGCGGTCGAGTGTTCGATTCCATGTGTAAACTTGTCGGTCAGTCTTCGCTCCTGGATTATTGGCCGGATTTGCTGAGTCTCACAGCCATGTGCACTACAGTTGTGATGTACGTGGATTGCGCCAACGATTGCCTGCAAAAATACCGCATGAAACCAAAGGCAAAGAAGAGTGAAGCATCTACGCACCTCGATTGGCAGAAATATGAGCTCTGATTCGCTCTGCACGATACGGGGCATTCGGTATGGCAAAACTATCTCGTCGACAGTCCACGGCCTCACGAGAATCCCCAGCACTACTCCTTTATTGCCATTTATCAATATCTCCTCGATCCGGCCCAAAGAGAGGTTGCTCCGACGACGGTAGATCAAGAATTTGTTGCGGTACAGTACGTCACCGTTACCGATTTGCAGGGATTTGGCTCTGACGAGCTCAACGTGGGGCAGATTGATTGCCGCTTCGAATTCTGGCCGAGTGTACACCATACTGTCCTGTTCGTTGCGCGGAATTGGACGGTAGGTGCCTGCAATCATGATTTTAATCCTGGATTGTGATGTGTTTCCTCAGGCACGTACATTTTTCTATGCGGTCAAAATCCGATAAGTTCATCAAACGGCAAAATTGGACATCGCTGATGAGCTCGAGGACGGCAGGTCCAGCCTGTCGTCGAACAATTGTGTCACGGGTTTGCAGTTGGATGTACCCTCCAAGGACCAGATGCCTGACCGCATGTGCGTGGCTGAGTGCGTTCGCAATGTCAAGGCTTGGTGCATGCCGATTTGAATAGACACTCCGCTGACGGATTACTGCGTTATAGGACTCAAAGCCCTCGGTCGCGTAGATTATTGCAGGGCCGAAGCGTCGAATGTGGATTGGCACATGAACAAACAGATGGAACTTGGGTTTGTTGAACCATTGCGGGCTCCAAAGTGCCGTGCACGCAAGGAAGTCGGAGATCGCATCCTCCAATTTTGGCTATTGTCTTGCGGTGAGTCCCTTCCAGCTTAATGCATCGAATGGTGAAACTCACCATGTATTTCTCAATGTCACTGATCTCAGGCTGATAGAGTAGTGGCGCAAGTCGACCAAGGGACAACCAAGCTTCGTACGCCCTTATCGGAATCATGTCAACCAGTACAAACGGAGCGATTTGAAGTATCACGCGGAAATCACGTCCCACGAGGGATCCGGCATAATTGACGAGAATACGACCATCCGGAGGTTTGATACCCAATCCTCCCGCAGCAACGCTATTGATTCTTGCTATCAGTTGTTTGCGTCCTTCAGAATCCTGTCTGGAGACCGCATCGCGCCACCAGTATTTCACGACGCCAAGGAGGACCACATGAAGTAGCTCTACCGGTGAGTCGACGTGTGGATCAAAATCTGCAACATTTCAGGTTAGCTACTTCACACAGATCGTATTTCTGGACATACCATCTACCATCAACGCGGGGTTGAAAATATTATCGGGGAAACTGTTACGAATGGCCTGCAATGCTGCTGCCACTTCAGAGTCCATGGATGACCCCTCACTCCGTGCACTATTCTTCAATTCGTCTTTGATCTTGCGACATTTCTCAGCGAGCTGATCGATGAAGTATTGCAGATATTTATCCTTCGTCCCTGTTTCTGTCGCCAAATGGTTCACAGCACTTGGAGCACCATCAAGAACTCTTTTCAATTGCGCCTCGAGGTTCCGAATTGTCTCCGCTTTGCTCCGTGGAATGCCTGGCTATCGGTACAAGGTACGTCAGTCACTTTACCCTGTCTTAATACGATCTCATCATACCTTCATGAAATCCTCCAATCTCTGTCTCTTGCCCGCGTCTCCAGAAGGTCGCTGGCTTGCATCTTCTCTAAAGACATGGCATATCCGGCAGAAGAACTTGCCCTTCATCCCGATATGCGAGGCAAATTCACTCGCCATTGGGTTGTCACCCTGAAATGCAAGTATCCATGGAATTACAAGGATTTCTTCGTCTAATGAAGAATCCCAGACCGCGATGCCGTTCTCCCCGCCTTTCTTGATGGTAGAGATGATATTTTCCATCATCTCAAGCGGCGGTGCAATATTCGATGTCGAGAGGAAGTGGATGTTGGAGAGGCTCTGGACCTTGCGTCTTGGCAAACCGGCGAAGGTGAGTAACACGGAATTGTGCTTGTTCCACTTCTTCGAAACATTGCCTGACGTGTCGTCGCAGTATAGCCACAAAGGCAAACTGTGCACCTGACGACCGGACCCTTTGATACGCCATTTGTTGCGGAGCGGGACCTCATACGGAACGGTTCGGCAATGTCCATCTTCGTCCCGAAGCAAAGCTCCTATTCGAAGGTCAACAATCCAGTCAAAATGTGTCCTCTACACGGATTGCTTACCTTCAACCTTCACAGGACGAGGTAGGTTGTACCGAACGCACACATCCGGCAAGGATAGTTCTTCAATTGAAAGAAGGAATGAGGTGAGTGGAACCTCACGCCTATTGCTTGCGGCATCGACCACAAAGTAACCTTGTCGCGATCCAGTAAAGACCTCGCTGACTTCTGCCCATAAGGTGTCGTTCCGGGAGAACCAACGCCTGACATACACCAGCGACCCATTGGAGGGCTGCGTCATGACAAACGCCAACTCATCGACGAAGTAATCCCTCCCAGACACAGGATCGCGAGCCATTGGTGCTGCGCGGCTTGCCTCTACTTCGTGACGCCACTTATCACCATGCCAACACTCCCGTCGAAGAACACCAGCATCCTCTGGATAGCGCTGGACTTCCTTCGCAATGCAAGGGTTTGCGAATTCCTGTTCGTTGTGGTTAGTTTGTTATCCAGCATATATTTTTGAATTCTGTGGCGTGACTCACATGTTTAACGATGGTTTCCAGGTCTTCAACGACGTACAAGTGCCCCAGATTGCCTTGATGCATCTGAGGATTAAGGCCGGCAATTTTCTCGATGTTGCGGCGATGCCTCTTCGCCTGCTTGACAGAAGGTATGCGTGTTGCACCATTCTTCTCTGCAAACCACTTCGTAGCCTCCAAGCCGGACTCGGATACTGATGCACGAGGAAACGCCGACATGATGTCCATGGTGCAGCTCTGATGTTGACGAGGTCAGTTGTATTGCCATATAATCATGTCATCCACTCACCCCGCGACTCGCCCATGGCCAGTAGAACTCATCCTCATATTCGGCATCTATTCCCGCCGGCAGTGGTTCATCGTCATCGTCCAAATCGCCAACTGCAGCGGACCAGCCTGTATTATCATCTAGCCACGGGTTTTCGTCCTCAACATCATGGGGGGTTGACTCCGGTAAGATGTCGCGTTTCCGCAATAGAACCGGCTTTGACGATGCAAGGTTTCCACCCCAGTCGTCGTAAATTGCGTCCGGAGGATCCGAACTGAGTGCTGGTCCATGAAATGCGGGAGGAGTCGGCGGGTTTGACTCTTCGTTGTCTATGGGACCCATCCAATGGTTGGACTCGGATGGTGGGGAGTTCGATAGCCGAATATGATTGGTCGTGGCTGACAAGAAGTCAGGATCGTCGATGACCCAAGTGTCAACACCTGGATCCCATGGATTCCGCAATGACGGGGTATGGACTGGCGAGAGCGTGGACTCCAGCATTTCTGTCCAATCGTCCTGTGGATCAACAGCGCTACGAAAGGGGCTGGATGTCAGGATAGGGGCATCGCGCGCACGGACTGCAGCGGTGTGTTCCTCCGTGTCCTCATGTCGCTGTGCTTTTGCAAGGTTCATTGGCTGACGCTGTGACGGACAGATTGTGCACGTAAACATGTTCATCGGTCCATGGATGAAAACTGGAAAGGGGTGAGCATTCCACTAACACGGCGTGTCCCAATTCTCACTAACGCGATGGGTTTACTAATGTAACAGGTCTGTATTCAACGATTTCATCGAGGTCTGGAATACCGAAGTCCATGGAGAGGGGTCAGAAGGAGCGATAGCAGGAGGCAGTGAACTCAAGGCGGGATGATCAGATTCGGAGGTCACCGGGTTTTCCTCCTCCCATTCTCATCTGGTGTCTCCGCGGATTCCCCTGTCTGAGCTCAAAGGTGAACCCGCACGTATTTATTGGTAAACACTACATATAACAGGAGTAAACAAGCAGATCATGTATAGGGGTTCAAAGACTGCAAGATCTGACGAAATAGGGGGTCATGAACATCCCACTCCCGCTCGAAAGCTAGTGAGACGGGTTACACAGCGTTATAAGCAGTCCCTGCGCAATGAGCAAGTTGAAGGATCCCAAGGTTCGTCATTGTGGGGCCAGCGATTGATATTGAAGGACTTGGCCGATTAGGAGAGGTCGTTCTTGCCGCTGACGTCTGCGTGATAGAGGATGCTGCGCGGCCGAAGCCAGTCGAGGCCCAAACGAGTGTTTCCGGCACCGTCAATGTTCATCCCGGACTAGCGGCTAAGGCATCCGCACCGGCCCAGGTCAGACTCAACTTGCCCGTCTTCGCCTCCAAGCTCACCGCATCCAAGGTTGCCCAAGCAAACACGTCCGGTGGAGCTATTCAAGCCGCGCCGACATCTGCGCCATCGGAGCCCTCAGAGGCCACATCGCCAGTGGCCAGCCATGAGTCACCGGCTGTGAACGAGCAAGGAACCGATAGCCTGTGTACATGGAATGCGGAGACGGTGGCAGAAGGTTCGTCATTGTGAAATGACCAGCGAATGATGCTGAAGGACTTGCCGATTAGGAGAGGTCGTTCTTGTCGCCGACGCATGCGTGATCGAGGATGGTGCGCCGCCGAAGCCAGTTGAGGCCCGAACGAGTGTTTCCGGCACCGTCAACGTTCGTCCGGGACCAGCGGCTAAGGCATCCGCGTCAGCCCAGGTCAGACTCAACTCGCCCGTCTCTACCGGACGACGGCGAGTAATTTTGAAACATATTGTCACTTGTGATACGTGTATATATAACCAGAAGACAATATCATCTTGTGTACAACAGTGTGGTGGCAAAGCGAACAAGGTTCGTGCCAGTCGGTCACCTGCACGAGGTTATCGCGCAGCTGCATCACAATCAAGGCGAGGACGTGCGCTTGGGCCGGCGCTGGCAGGGCCACGCTCCGAGTCCCTGCCTTGCCTCGTCGAAAGCGGCAGGCTGGAGCGCGATGCACCGTGCGCCGATGGGGGACCCCGGAACGAGTAACGTTCTTCGTCGTCCGAATAGTCGTTGTCGGTGACGGTCATGATACTCTGGAAGTCGTCCGCGCCGGATTCGCTTTGAGTAGCGGAGGTGAGAAGCACGCTCTGCCGCGCGTCCGTCCATACCTCCTGCTCATTCTCTGTCTCTGTCTCCGGCTCGGTGTCGGACAGTGGCCCTGTCTCGGTCGCAGTGCCGTCGTCACCGTACTCGGATTCAGCGGTTGCTTGCTCCACGATGCGCTCGCTCTGAGGGCGAGTGATGGTGGTATCACCGCTCCGGTCGAAGAGTGCAAGCTTGGGCAGGTCGGCGCGGGTGATGGTCGTTCGACGCGAACGCTCGTACTCGTCCGTTTCAGCCTGCTCGTCCTTTGCGGCGATGGGCGTTTGAGTTTCCGCGTTCGCCAAGTTCTTGAACGCGCCAGGCACTACGGGCGTTTGCGTTTCGCTGTCGACCGTCGCTACACTTGGCACGCTCAGCAGTACGGGTGGAGGGGCAAGGGCAGGCTGATCGTGTTGGATGCCCATTTCGCCCTTGGCGACCGCGGGCGGCACCTCTGTTTGGCTTGACGACTCGCGGCTCACCACGGTCGGCACCAGCACCGGGGCGGGCACCGGTTCCGGATCAACCTGCACGCCAAACTCGGCCCTTTCCACTACCGGCACCACCGGTGCCTCCACCTGCTCCTCTGCAACAGGCGCGGGAACTAGTTGCTTGTCGAGAACGAGCGTATCCTCCTCTGGCGCCTCCGTCTGCGCGCCAAAGTCGACGTACTCCTTCTCCGGCTTCGGATCCTCCTCGAGCGACGCCATGCCAATACCGAGCTCCATCGCAAGCGCCTCAGGTGCGCCTACCAAGCTCGGCGGGCGCGCCTCTTGGAACGCTGCGCCGCCGCGCCTGCGACCGACGGTGCCTCCACCGCGGCCGCGCACGGACGATGTGAGGGTCTGTTGTCGGAGTGGCGACGGGTTTTGCGGGAGCGACGAGGCCGAGGCCGAGCGGCGGAGCACATTCGCGAACGCGGGATCCATGCCGTCCACGCTCGTCCGGTTATCGCGTTTGCTCAGGGGCGAGTCCTCCACGCCGCCGAACGCTTCTTCATCCTCGTCTTCCATGTCGGCGAACTCGCGCGGTAGAGCGGGCACCGGTGGGACAGGCGAGCCGTCGAGCACGTCGTCTTCCGCCCACTCGCTCCCGGGCGAGCTCTGCGCCGCAAGCCCGAGGCGCTGCTGCAGCGTCAAGATACCTCTGCCGGCTGGCGCTGGCGGCGGCGGCAGCGGACATGGTGGGTGGACGACGGAGAGGGAGAGCTGCGCAAGGGGTGAGGCGGGACACGCACACACCGTCGGGGTCCAAGCCTCCTGTTTGTCCGGTCTCCCGCCGCTGGCATGCCTCTCGGTGCACTGCCCGCCTGTTCCGTGACCGCACAGTGCCTTCGGCCAGCAATCCCGGTCGAATGGGGCAGCGAGCTCGTGCAGCACGAGGGAGGTGCGTGTCTTCCGTGGTGGTGGTCAAAGTTGGGCATCCCGCTGCTGGCACGCCTCTCGGGGCATTGCCCGCCCGTTTCGTGACCGCACGGCGCGTTGGCAAACGATGCCCAGTCGAACGGGGCGGCGCGCGTGCAGCACGAGGAGCGTGCGCGTTGCGGCACTCTTGGGGCATGCTGATGGCCGGGGTGGTTGGCGCTATCGCTGCTGGCCCTGGCGGCGGCGGCGGCGGCATCGGCGTGCAGCATGAGGACGGCGGCTCGCAAACAGCAAGGGCGGGGGATGGAAGCTGCACCGGGCACGACCGCGTTGGCGGCTCGCGCTCGGTGTTGGGCGAAAGAGGGCATGGGGGTGGAAGAAGGGCGGGGGACCAACGCTCGGCGTCAGGCGAAAGAGGGCATGGGGGATGGAAGCCACGCTGAGCGCGACCGCGTTGGCGGCTCGCGCTTGGCGTTGGGCGAAAGAAAGCTGCGCCGAGCGCGACCGCGTTGGCGGCTCGCGTTCGGTGCTGGGCGAAAGAGGGCACGGGGTGGAAGCTACGCTGATCGCGACCGCATTGGCGGCTCGCAGACGGCAAGGGCGGGGGAATGGATCGGCGTTGGGCGGGGGATGGAAGTGGCGCTGAGCGCGACCGCGTTGGCGGCTCGCGTTCGGTGCTGGGCGGATGGCAGGCGCGAGAAGCGGCGCCGCGCGAGACCGTGGGTGACGAGCATGCGGGGCTGGGTGGATGACGAGAACGGGGGTGCAACGGCACACCTGGATGAAAGTATGAGCGCATTGTCTTTACAAAGGTAAGAGGAAAACTCCGAACGTACCGCGCCCTCAGCATATCAAACATATTCGAAATGCGCACAGCACTGTGAGGACACATAGATTGTTGGGGGGTTGGCATGCCAGGTCGTCCGGGGGTTCATCTTGCAACGGTGGGCACAACCGCTATAGACGCACACCCCATCTCCCGACCCATACTCTCTGAGCAGGCTCAGAGAGTGGCATGACTCTACCATGGCCCGTGCCCTTGGCCATGGCGAGAGTGAACCTAACGACTATTGTCTTCGCTGGCGCTGTTGGCGGGAGATGAGTTGGAGCTGACCGCGCGCGTTGCCGCTGCTGTGCTGGCACGAATCATCCATCGACTTTGGCAAGTCCTTGCACACGTGACGGCTCTGGCGGCTCGCGATGGAAAACACGAAGCCGAACTGTGGATTACCAATGGCTACACAATGTAATCTTACTGGAACCGCGGTACAGTTGTATTCTACAGTCCAGGTTGAGTGGCATTCCACTGCGCGCCAATCTCGTCAATTGACATTGGACGCGACATGGACTTCACGTGGATTTGGCGCACGGTAACCACATGGCGTGCAATCCACGCGATTTCCGCCGTCGTCTTGTCTGGACGTGTAGGCGGTTAGCGCCTGCGCCATGAGGCGGGATGGGGGGGGAACGCGGCCAACAACGATCCCGAGGCCCTGTTCCCTCAGTCTTCTTCTCCCCAAGATCTCCGGGGCTCCCTGTTTTCTGCTCCCGCTCCCCTACGACGACGCCTGAGACGACGCGGACTTGACGCTCGGATACCACGAAATCGCGGAGAAGATCAGCCGGCCGCACCTATCGCGTTTACATACCCCCGAAACGAACCGCGTCACGGATCCTCGCGTAGCACACCCGTGCGGTGGAATGAACCATGGGGCGAGGTACGCGTCCGTCGCCTCCCTCCCCCCCTCTCCTCACCACCCTCCTCCCCTCATGACACCCACCCTCTGCCGCACCTGCCTAACGCCCATCACGCCCCCGCGCCCCTCCTCTCCTCTCCCCGCATCTCCTCCGCACGTTCATTACGCCCACTCACCTCCACGTGCCGCAGCCTCCAGCGTCACCGGCAACCTCCAAAACCTCGTCGCGGGCACCGTCACGCCCATCCTCGACCAGCCCGGGCACCCACGGCGTCCCGGTAGGCGGGGGAACAACAAGCGGAAGGAGACGCTGCTCAGCCTGCTCGATGCGCTCTCGGAGCTGACGAAGGAGGACGACGAGGAGCTCGTCGACGCCGGTGCGTCCTCGCCCTCTCCCTCCCACCTTCTACCTACCGTTCTCTTCTCTCACACGCTTGTTTGGTTTTCGGTAGCGGTAGCCGGTCGACGGTCGACGCAGCAGCGCAGTTTCGAGGACGACCACGATGTCCGTGAGTGGTCATTCGTCTTCCCCTTAAATATGGGGATCAACGCCCTCGATCGGGGGTTTCCCGGTCTTCCACTTTGTTCTTTCCGGTGGGATGATCGAATGAAATCCGTCTGACGTATATGTCGCTTTGCATAGCCACCGTGGACGAGCAGCACCAGGTCGCGGGCGGGGAGACGTTCAACAAGTTCGCAAAGTCAGTCTATTCGATCACGGCTATATCCACCAACACGTTATTTTTTTGCTGATATACTCGACACCCCTAGACGCATCACCAACCTGGACAACGAGGTGACTATATTCCTCCCTTTTCGCATGTTCTCCTCAAACCCAAACGACAATATCCCCCCCCCCGGCTCTCTCTCTCTTTCTCTCTGACTATCTCTCTCTCCAACCTCTCTCTTCTTCACACGTCTTCAAAAACCAGTTCTGAACATTTTTTTATTTAATTTTGTTTTTAAAAATACAGCTCCGCAACTTCTCGAACGCGGCCCGCCAGCTCGGCTCCTCCGTCGCCATCCTCTCCTCCGCCTTCCACCTCCGCGAACGCCTCGCCCAGATCCTCTTCCTCTTCCGCGAAAACGCCGCCGACCTCTTCCCCCGCAAAGTCGCCCGCCAGCCCGCCGCGCCCCCCACGTCCTACACCTCCAAGAAACGGTGAGCGTTTTTTTTTTGACTTGACTTCTCCCTTTCTCCCCCTTCACTTTACCCTATTCCCTATTC